CTACAGGCATGCATCAACATGCCCAGCTAATTTTTTAAAAAATGTTTTGTAGAGATGGGATCCTGCTGTGTTGCCCAGGCTGTTCTCAAACCTCTGCACTCAAGCAATTCTTCTGCCTCAGCCTTGCAAAGCACCGGGATCAAAAGCATGAACCACGGTGCCTGGTCAGGACTGGTGATTTCTATGTGCTTCTAGTTCTTCCCTTTTTTGTTGTTTGTTTTTTGAGACAGAGTCTCGCTCTGTTGCCCGGGCTGGAGTCCAGTGGCACGATCTCAGCTTTCTGCAACCTCCGCCTCTCAGGTTCAAGCGATTCTCTTGCCTCAGCCTTCTTAGTAGCTGGGACTACAGGCATGTGCCACCATGCCCAGCTAATTTTTGTATTTTTAGTAGAGATGGGGTTTCACCATGTTGGCCAGGCTGGTCTTGAGCTCCTGACCTCAGGTGATCCACCGGCCTCGGCCTTCCAAAGTGCTGGGATTACAGGCAGGAGCTATCACGCCCGGCGATTCTTTTTTTTTTTTAATGGAATAATGTATTGTTACTATCCTGTATTCTACCACTGTATGTTGAATGGGATGGGGGATGGGGAGTTGCAATGATTTATTTTTTTAAGTTCTTAGGTCTTCAGATCAAGAGAAACCATATTTAGGCCTGATATACAGATGATAAGATCCTGGATCTTAAGCCAAGTACCACAATTTGAGTGAAAATTGGGGGAGGCTGGGCACAGTGGCTCACACCTATAATCCCAGCACTTTGGGAGGCTGAGCTGGGGAGATCACTTGAGGTCAGGAGTTCGAGACCAGCCTGGCTAACATGGTGAAACCCCGTCTCTACTAAAAATATAAAAATTAGCTGGGTGTGGTAGTGCATACCTTGTAATCCCAGCTACTTGGGAGGCTGAGACGGGAGAATTGCTTGAACCCAGGAGGCAGAGGCTGCAGTGAGCCAAGATTGTGCCATTGTACTCTAGCCTGGGTGACAGAGTGAGACTCTGTCTCAATAAATGAATAAAATACAAACTGGGGGAGTCTTGGGATTGTGGGTGAATGTATTTTGCAGGTGGGAGGGATGTGAATATTCACAAAGAGATGCACTGTTGTAGATTAGATTATTGTTCAAAAACATTTACTTCCCAACTACCTCCATGGCGAATTTTACCTGCTTCTTGACTTTTGACTCAGTTTTGTGATTGTTTTGGCCAATGGCACATTAGCAGATGCGACCTAAGCAAGTACTTGTATGCTTGGTCCTCCCGGAGAGAAGAGCTCTCACCAGGTAGCTGCTGTCTTTTCAGCCTAAGCTGCAGAATAAACATCTTTGGATCAGACCTACTACAAGGAGCAGAGATTCCTGGCCAAGCTGAGCTTAGATCAGATCACCTACAGATGCATGAGAAGTAAGTGCTATTGTATGCAAAGGGTGTGGTTGCTTGTTATGTAGCAATAGCTGATTGGTTCTTTCTCATTCTTCAAATGCAAACAAGCATTTTCCTGCCTCAGGACCATTAAAATACTTGTTCCTTCTTTTTGAACTGTCCTCCTTGCTCATTGCAAGCCTTAACTGCAGATCTTAATTTAAACGCATTTCATCAGAGGCCACTCTTGATAAATCACCCTATTATTCTAGATAGTTGTGCAATTTAATTCACAGCACTCATCCGCATTTGTAACAACAAATAATTATATGTTTCCTTCTTTTCCCCACTCGACTACAAGCCTTACAAGGGAAGGGACCATGTTGATTTATTCACCAATGCATTCTCAAAGTGTAGGATTAAGACTGGTGCATAGTGGACTGCTAGTAAATATTTACTGAATAAAAGAATTTTTTAAGTCAGTGAATGAACTTCATATGCATATGTTAGGAAACACTTAGCCTACTCTTTGAGCAGCTTTAGAAAATGTAATTCAATTTCTTTCTATTCCTCTTCTTATTTTTAATAAGAACTATTTTGTTCTCTTCCTAATGAGCTGTGCTTCCCGAGGAATTAGGTTGCCTGCTTGATAGCTGAACCAACCAATTTGGCCAAAACACATAACTGATGGGCTCTTTGCTTACACTTTCCCTGCTTGCTTCTGGACCAGCATTAGGACTCTGGGTCAAAGATGCAGCTCAGGCCATCTGCTATTTCTGCCAAGGCCAGAGCAAACTTTTTCATAAAGTTTGATTAGTCTATCCACCCTGAAAACACAAGCCCGCTCACAAAAATCCCACACACATACAGAGCTTGCCGCAAGGCTGTGACAGAACCCTGAAGCCCAAGGCTATCTGTCACCTGATGGTTCCAAGTCCACAGCCCCGTGACTCTAACATCTGCCTTCCCTAGGTGCTCTCCAGCTTCCTCCCTGTAGCATTTGCTGCCTTAACTACAAGGTCCCAATAACAGTCTCTGCAATGTTTCTAGGGCCACAGACCACACACTGTGAGAGAAAGAGGGCCTCCTCCTAAGGACAGGGTAGAAACAGCAGTCAGGGCATGGATCCCGGTACAAGTACCCAGCTAAGCTCATTGTTTCTGGAGGTCTGGTTTTCTGGCTTTTCTAACTCTAAATTTCTTCAAGTCAAGATCTTTGACTTTAATCTCTACACTTTTCTATTTTCTTTTCCTTCTTCAAGGCATTAAACTTTTATTAAACATTATATATGAGTTATGTGAAAGTTATGAAGCCCAATAAAATGAACATTTGTGAACCACCATCCCACTTAAGAAAGAGAACATGACTATTTACAGTTGGCATCTCTGATGTGCTCCTTCTGGACCCCAAGTCCATACTTCCCCATCCCACCCACAGAACTAGCATCTCAGATTTTTCTTCCCCTCAGGTCCCTATTTTCTTTATAGCTTACCAAATATATATATGTTCTTAAGCAATATATGGCTTAGTTTTGCTTGTTTTGGAACTTTATAAGCATGTATATCATACTGTATGTATTCTTCTGCAACTGATTTTCTTTATTTTTTTTTTTTTTTTGTGTGTGTGTGAGATGAAGTCTCGCTCTGTCACCAGGCTAGAGTGCAGTGGTGTGATCTTAGCTCACTGCAACCTCTGCCTCCCTGGTTCAAGTGATTCCCCTGCCTCAGCCTCCCGGGTAGCTGGGACTACAGGCGCCCGCCACCTCGTCCGGCTAGTTTTTTGTATTTTTTTAGTAGAGACGGGGTTTCACCGTGTCAGCCAGGATGGTCTCGATCTCCTGACCTCGTGATCTGCCCGTCTCGGCCTCCCAAAGTGCTGGGATTACAGGCTTGTGCCACCGCGCCTGGCCAATTTTTGTATTTTTAATAGAGATGGGGTTTCACCATGTTGGCCAGCCTGGTCTTGATCTCTTGACCTCGTGATCCACCTACCTCGGCCTCCCAAAGTGCTGGGATTACAGGTGTGAGCCACTGCGCTCAGCCTCTGTAGACATTAATACACTCAATAATGGCACCCAATAGATGATAAATCCTATTACAGAGAAACTCTCTTATTCAATGCATTGGATGATTAATCTGAAAAGTCCTGTATATCATTAAACAGAGATATATACTTACCTTGAACATTTTATTTTAACTTAAAAAAATATAAATATAGATTCATTCTCCAAGTTTTTGATGTAGGGCCAAAGGTATGTGTCTGCTGACTGGCTTTTCAGATCTTTCCTGCATAAATCACACCCATAACACATTGTCTACAATTTTAGTTTTTAGTGGAACAAGAACTTAAAGCAATTAGGGTGTAGATTCCTAGACTGTTGTGATTTTTTTTTTCCTCAGTCTTACCCACATATCTTTCAACAGCAATTATTTTAGAGATTTACCATAGTTTTTAACTTAGCTTTCATAGAAAAAATAAAATATCCAATTTTATATCATTGGGTTTACAAAATACAGTTGTCCCTTCGTATCCACAGTAGATTAGTTCCAGGACCCCCTCCAGATACCAAAACACTTGGATGCTCAATTCCCTTATATAAGATGGCATAGGATTTTCATATGACCTTCACATATCCTTTTGTACATTTTAAATAATCTCTAGATACTTATAACACCTAATATAATGCAAATGCTATGTAAATAGTTCTTATATTTATTTTTTATTTGTATTATTTTTTATTGTTGTGTTGTTTTTATTTTTATTTTTTTGGAGACAGGGTCTCGCCTTGTCACCCGGGCTGGAGTGCAATGGCGTGATCATAGCTCACTGCATCCTGGAACTCGTGGGCTTAAGTGACATTCCTGCCTCAGCTTCCCAAGTAGCTGGGACTTTAGGTGCATGCCACCACACACAGCTAATTTTTAAATTTTCTGTAGAGACAGGGTCTTGCTGTGTAGCCCATGCTGGTCTTGAATTCCTGGCCTCAAGTGATTCTCCCTCCTTGGCCTCCCAAAGTGTTGGTATTACAGGTGTGAGCCATGCCACTCCCAGCCTATTATTATTGTTATTATTATTATTTTGGAGATGGAGTCTCGCTCTGTCACCCAGGCTGGAATGCAATGGTGTGATCTCGGCTCACTGCAACCTCCGCCTCCTGGGTTCAAGCGATTCTCCTGCCTCAGCCTCCCAGGTAGCTGGGATTACAGGCACACACCACTAGGCCCAGCTAATTTTTGTATTTTTAGTAGAGACGGGTTTTCACCATGTTGGCCAGGCTGGTCTTGAACTCCTGACCTCAGGTAATCCACCCCCCTCTGCCTCCCAAAGTGCTGGGATTATAGGCGTGAGCTACCGCACCCGGCCTATTATTTTTTTATTGTGTTTTTTTTTCTTGAATATTTTTGATCTGTGGTTGGTAGAATCTGTGGATGAGGAACCTGTGAATACAAAGGGATGACTGTACTTAATGAAATTAGGTAATTGCAATAATAACTAGCACTGGTATAAAGAGGCTTAGAAACAAGTACAGCTGAGTTCTGGTAAGCACACAAGACAACACGTGGGAATGACACTAAGTGGCCAGGATGGTATACTAGCAAAATCATCAGCCGATAGTATGTCGTGGGCATCAGTTAGAATGTTATATACAGGATATAGAGAGTGTCGGTTAACCGGGCATGTAAGTTAAGTGGAAGTCGGTTGAGATAGCTACGATATTATTATTCTCTCTGTTTCTACCATTGACCTAGTTACAGGGCCCGATTATCTTCTCAGCTGACCCCTCTGAAGGAAATTATCTTCAATCAGGCTGGTTCATTGTTGACGTCGGCCCCTGGCCAGAAGGGAACAGAGGAACACATAGACTTCCCAAGAAATGAAGCCTAGTAAGTTGGAAGAGATTTTAAAATATTTAGTTTTCAAAGGGTTACTCCTGATTTCTGAGAGTCCCCATCCCTGATGAGCTGAGATGGGGAGAAAAGTTCCACCTCTCTACACTGTCCTGTGATGGGCACAGCACTGTGGAGAGGAAGGTCTGACTTTAATTAGTCAGACCATCACCCTACTAAACTCCACTGAAACCAAAACAAACCAGGCAGTCCCATATGTCATAAGAATTAAAGGCATGGTTCCCACTTCCTAACGATGCTTTTACAGAAACCGTTCCACTGTAAAACTTTATGATTTGAATCTTTATAGCCGCCAGCAGAGCACATGTTCACTGCCTTAAATTATAACTTAATCACAATAGAAACTGACTTTCCAGCCCTTTGCAGTCAAGACGGGAGAGAAAAGGGGCCTCCAGAACAAACGGCTGCTATTCCTCTGCCCACCTGCCTCCTCCTGCCCTGCCTAGTGTAGTCCCAGGAAAGCAGAAGATGCGGGGAAACACATACCTCACAGCCCAGGAAAACTTCAAAGCCAGAACCTTCTAGTATGGTCTAGAGACATGAATATCGTCCTGTCCAGGACTTACGTGGCCTAGTTAGGGCGAAGTGAGTGCTGCCGAGAAGCAAAAGGCAAGAAGGATCAGAGGGAGAAAGGCAAGGCGGCAGGGAGCTGCAGGCATGTGCACCCATCTCATTACCCTGCTCTGGCCAGCTCACTCCGTTCCTTAACTTTGGTTGACATCCTCTATTGTTGCAGACTAGTTTGACAAAAAAAGGAAACAAAAGCAAAATATCCCCACCTCTCCTCAGTTGAACACAGCTGAAACAGAAAGTGTGGGAAGGAGAGTGACAGAAGCTGTTGGACCGGAAGGCTGAGGCCAGATCCTGAAGGGTCTTGTGTGGCACACTCAGAAATGTTTATTTTATCCTGTAGGCAATTGGGAACAATTTAAAATTTTCAGTACTGAAGCAACCTGATGAGATTGCCTTTCAAAAAGACTCTACATTCAAAGAAGATACACAAACGGCCCCAAAATGAAAAGATACTCAGTATCATCAGTCACTAGGGAAATGCAAATCAAAACCACAGTGAGATACTGCTTCACACCCACCAGGATGGCTGTTTTTTAAAAGCCCAAACAAAACATAACAAAAAAACCAAACCAGAAAATAAGTGGCACCCAGGATGTGGGAAAACTGGACCCCTCATGCAGGGCTGATGGGAATGGTATAAATGGTGCAGTGGCTATGGAAAGGAGTTTGGCAGTTCCTCAAAACGTTAAACATACAGTTATCACATGACCCAGCAATTCCACTCCTAGATATATACCCAAGAGAATTGAAAACATATGTCGACACAAAAACTTGTATAGCAATGTGCATAGCAACATTATTATAATAGCCAAAATGTGGAAATGAGATCAATTCCATCAACTAATGAATGGCTAAACAAAATATGGTATATCCATACAATGGAATACTATTAAGCCATAAAAAGGAATGAAGTACTGAAACATGCTACAATAGTGGTAAAACTTGAAAACATTATATTAAAGGAAACAAGCTAGACACAAAAGGCCACATATTTTACGATTTTATTTATGTGCAATGTCTAGAATAGGTAAAATCACAGAGATGGTAAGCAGATTAGTGGTTGCCAGGAGATGGAGAAGAGGGGGAATTCAGAAGTACAGGGCTTCTTGTTTTTGTTTTTGTTTTTTGAGACAGAGTTTCGTTCTCATTGCCCAAGCTGGAGTGCAATGGTGCAATCTCGGCTCAGCCTCCGCCTCCCGGGTTCAAGTGATTCTCCTGCCTCAGGCTGCCAAGAAGCTGGGATTACAGGCATGTGCCACCAAGCCCGGCTACTTTTTTATATTTTAGTAGAAACAGGGTTTCACCACGTTAGCCAGGCTGGTCTCGAATTCCTGACCTCAGGTGATCCTCCCACCTTGGCCTCCCAAAGTGCTGGGATTACAGGCATGAGCCACGGTGCCTGGCCAGTACAGGGATTCTTTAGAGCATGATGAAAATGTTCCAGAGTTAGGGGATGGTGATAGTTGAATGACATTCTGATTATACTAAAAACCACTGACTTGTACACTTTATTTTATTTTATTTTGAGATGGAGTATCGCTCTCTTGCCCAGGCTGGGAGTGCAGTGGCACGATCTTGGCTCACTGCAACCTCCGCCTCCCAGGTTCAAGCGATTCTCCTGCCTCAGCCTCCTGAGCAGCTGGGATTATAGGCACCCAACACTTCGCCTGGCTAATTTTTGTATTTTTAGTAGAGACAGGGTTTCACCATGTTGGCTGGGTTGGTCTCGAACTCCTGACCTCAGGTGATCCACCAGCCTTGGACTCCCAAAGTGCTAGGATTATAGGCGTGAGCCACTGCACTCAGCCAATGACTTGTACACTTCAAAATGATTAAAATGGTGAATTTTATCTTTTTTTTTTTTTTGAGATAGGGTCTCACTCTGTCACACAGGATGGAGTGCAGCAGCACGGTCACTGCTCACTGCAGCCTCGAATGCCTGAGCTCAAGTGATCCCCTGCCTCAGCCTTGGTGGAGGTGGAGGTCAATGCTGAAGTCCAGTGGGTTGGGAATGAATGGGAGACAAAGAAGAGGAGAAGGTCACCTCTCAAGTATTCATTGAATGTCTCCTATGTGTCAGGCCACAGTAGAGAGGAAATCCTTCCAGAAAGCTTTGGAAATAATAGGAAGGGAAGAAATAGGAAAGTAAATGAGGAGGATGCAGGAAGAGGATGGGAGGGAAATGAGAGAGCCAAAAGGACAGGAGGGTCCAGTTAGAAAACAAGAAGTTTAAGGTTGATGAGTTCTTAGTGATGAGGCTCACAGTGTGGCCATGGGACTGGACAGTGAAATGGAGTGGTGGTAAAGGTCAGTAGAAATTAACAGGCCAAGAAACTATACATGTGAGGGATCAGATCATTCCATCCAACAAATGAGGAGTGGAGACTGTCAGAGAACAGACAATGACAGAAGTGAGAAGACAATAGAATAGTGGAACAGCAAGGGTCTCAAAGAAGGGGGAATTGTGTGTATCCTTTTTATTTTTCTTTTATACAAATAAGTAAACCTGCATATTCCACTACTAGCTACTTAGTAGACACTCCATAAATAAATGTTGCCAACTGACTGATGTGTGCTCTCAAAAGCATCTCATAGCTGGCATGTTCTCAACTGAACTGTGATTCCCTTCCAAACTTAGTTATCTTCCATTGTTATCTGTCTCATCTATTCCATTGCACATGCCAAAATCTTAGGAAGCATTATTGACATATTTCCTTCCTCTTTGCCACTCTCGAGATGGAACCCATCATCAAGTCTTACCACTTTTACTTCCTAAACATCTCTCACATATGTCCGCATTGCTCTACATGCTCGTCTAAGCACCCATCATCTCCTGTCTACTTTATCTGCCTCCTTACTCACCTCTGCACATCTGCTCTTGTCTCCCTGCAATCCATTCTCTACTCTGCAGCCAGAGTCATAGTTTCAGAATCTGAATCTGATCAGGATGTGTCCTTTACCCCTTCATCCCGTTTAAACCCTTTAAGGGATTCCCATTGTTCTTAGAGTAAGAACCCCTTAATGTCAGACTCTGCAACCTCACCTCGTACCACACTTTCATACTATTTTCCGTCTTTTCCAACCTAGTGCTTGTCGTGATCCCTACTGGTAGGGCCTTTGCACCTGCGATTGCCTCTGCCTAGTGTTCTTCCTCTCTGTTGCCTAAATGCCTATTCATCCTAATCAGTACAACTTTCCTAAAATTTTTGTCTGGGTCATATCATACTCGGGCTGTCATAGCACTGCATAATTCTTCTTCATAGTGCCTGCTACAGTTGCAATTTTGCATTTGATTAATGCCTGTTTCCATGAGGACAGGGACTGTGCCTCACACATAGAAGGGACTCAGTAAATATTTAGTGAATGAGTGAATAATATACCAATAAACTTGCTCAGTGGTGTTAAGTGGCAGATCTGGGACTGTGTCCCAAGAGGAAATGTATTAGCAGGGAGGTTTGAAAAATGAACTCCAAGATCCCTTCCATTTCTGAGATTTGTGCTTTCTAGGTGAACTTCTATTATTTTCCTTCCCTTCCTTTTCTTAGGCTGGCTTGCCTGGCCTTATCTATACACCGCCATTGGGTACCATAAAGAATTAAAGACCTAAGGATTGGAAGGAATTAGTTCCCTCAGATGTTGGAAACCTTTCCTTTATCAGATGATTGAAAGAAACTCCTTAACAACAACCTTAATAATGGGTCATTTATTCTCTACTTAAACACATCTAATAATAGAGTTCAATTCTTCTCCAAAGGATTCCCTGTGGGTTTTCTTTCCTTTAATAATACATAAGTTAGGCATCTTTTTCATATGATGATTGGCCATTTGTATTTCTTTCTAAAACGAGTTCTCATATCCTTTACCCTCTTCTGTTAATTTTTAGACTGATTTATAAACTCTCTGTAGATTAAAGAAATTAGCCCTTTGTCATATTATGTTGTAAATGTGTTTTCCAGTTTGTTGTTGATCTTCTTTCTAATATTGTTTTTGGCATCTAAACAATTCTATTCTTTTTTTTTTTTTTTTTTTTTTTGAGACGGAGTCTCACTCTGTTGCCCAGGCTGGAGTGCAGTGGTGTGATCTTGGCTCACTGCAACCTCTGCCTCCCAGGCTCAAGCAAGTCTTGTGCCTCAGCCTCCCAAGTAGCTGGGATCACAGGTGTGTGCCACCATGCCCGGCTAATTTTTTGTATTTTTTTGTAGAGACCGAGTTTCACTATGATGGCCAGGCTGGTCTCAAACTCCTGACTTCAAGCAATCCACCTGCCTCAGCCTCCCACAGTGCTGAAATTATAGGCATGAGCCACTGCACCTGGCCTAAACAATTCTATTCTACATGGAACAAAATTTAAAAGATACAAAAGATTATATAAGGACAAATAAATCTTCCTTCACTCTTGTTTTCCAGCTCAATTCCCCTCCCCAAACGTTAAGTACTATTAAAGTTTCTTGTATATCTTCCCAGGGCTTGCCTAAGCAATAACAACTTATATGTATAGCTGTTTATCTTCCTACAACACACACAAAAGGTAATAATGCACTCCGCTTCCACATCTTGCATTTTCACTTACGACACAAGATATATCAGAGACCTTTCCATATCAGTACAGGAAGAGCTGACTGATACTGCCAAATTGCCCTCCATAGAGGTTGAACCAATTTGCACTCTCATTAGCAATATATGCGAATGTCTCTTTCCACATCTTTCACTAGTACAGGCATACCTTGTTTTATTGCACTTTGTAGACATTATGTTTTTTACAAATTGAAGGTTTGTGGCAACCCTGTGTTCAGCAAACCTATCAGTGCCATTTTTTTCAACAGCCTGTGCTCACTTTGTGTCTGTGTCACATTTTGGTAATTCTTGATCTTTGATGTTACTATTGTAATTGATCTGGGGTGCCATGAACCACACTCGTATCAGATGGCACACTTAATAAATATTGTGTGTGTTCTGACTGCTCCACCAACCGGCTATTTCCCTATCTCTTTCCTTGGGCCTCCCTATTCTCTGAGACACAACCATATTGAAATTAGGCCAATTAATAACCCTACAAAGAGCTCTCAATGTTCAAGTGAAAGGAAGAGCCACACATCTCTCACTTTAATCAAAAGCTGGAAATGACTACGCTTAGTACAGACGGCATGTCAAAAGCTGAGACAGGCTGAGAGCCAGGCCTCTCGTGCTGAACAGTTAGCCAAGTTGTGAATGCAAAGGAAAAGTTCTTAAAAGAAATAAAAAATGCTATGCTAGTGAACACATGAATGATAAGAAATGAAACAGTCTTATTGCTGACAGAAAGTTTTAGTGGTCTGGATAGAAGATCAGCCACAACATTCCCTGAAGCCAAAGCCTAATCCAGACCAAGGCCCTAACTCTCTTCAATTCTATGAAGGCTGAGAGATGTGAGGAAGCTGCAGAAGAAAGGTTTGAAGCAGCCGGGCGCGGTGGCTCACGCCTGTAATCCCAGCACTTTGGGAGGCCAAGGTGGGCGGATCACCTGAGGTCGGGAGTTTGAGACCAGCCTGACCAACGTGGAGAAACCCTGTCTCTACTAAAAATACAAAATTAGCTAGGCATGGTGGCGCATGCCTGTAATCCCAGCTACTCGGAAGGCTGAGGCAGGAGAATCGCTTGAACCCGGGAGGCGGAGGGTGCAGTAAGCTGAGATTGTGCCACTGCACTCCAGCCTGGGCAACAAGAGCGAAATTCCATCTTAAAAGAAAAGAGAAAAGAAAAAGAAAAAGTTTGAAGCTAGCAGAGGTTGCCTCATGACGTTTAAGGAAAGAAAGTATCTCTATAACAGAAAATTACAAGGTGGAGTAGCAAGTGCTGATGGAGAAGCTGCAAGTTATCCAGAAGATCTAACTAAGATAATTGAAGAAGGTGGCTGCACTAAACAATGGATTTTCAACGTAGATGAAACTGCCTTATATTGGAAGGTGCCATCCAGAGCTTTCAAAGCTTGAGAGAAGAAGTCAATGCCTCAAAGCTTCAAAGGACAGGTTGACCGTGTTAGGTGCACAATGCACTTGGTGACTTAAAGTTGAAGCCAGTGCTCATTTGCCATTCCAAAAATCCTAGGGCCCTTAAGAATTAAATCTATTCTGCCTGTGCTCTATAAATGGAACAACAAAGCCATGATGACAGCACATCTGTTTATAGCATGGTTTACATAATATTTTAGGCCCATTGTTGAGATCTACTCCTAAAATAAAAATATTCCTATCAAAATATTTCTGCTCATTGACAATGCACCTGGTCACCCATGCGCTCTGATGGAGATGTACAAGAATATGAATGTTGTTTTCATGCCTGCTAACACAACATCCATTCTACAGCCCATGGATCATGGAGTAATTTCAACTTTCAAGTCTTACTACTTAACGAATACATTTTGTAAAGCTATATCTGCTATAGATAGTAATTCCTCTGATGGATCTGGGCAAAGTAAATTGAAAATCTTCTGGAAAGGATTCATCATTTTAGATTCCATTAAGAAGAGTCATGATTCATGGGAGGGGGCCAAAATATCAATATTAACAAGAATTTGGAAGAAGTTAATTCCAGCCCTCATGGGTGACTTTGAGGGTTTCAAGACCTTAGTGGAGAAAGTAACTGTGAATGTGGTCAAAATAGTGAGAATTACAATAAGTGGAGCCTGAAGATGTAATTGAATTGCTACAATCTCATAAGAAAACCTGACTGGATGAGGAGTTGCTTCTTATGGATGAGCAAACGAAGTAGTTTCTTAAAATAGAATCCACTTCCTGGTGAAGATGTTGTGAACATTGCTGAAATGACAACAAAGAACTTAGAATCTTACATAAACTTAGTTGATAAAGTAGCTGCAGGGTTTGAGAGGATTGACTACAATTTTGAAAGAAGTTCTACTGTGAGTAAAATGCTATCAAATAGCATCACATGCGACAGAGAAATCTTTCATAAAAACAGAGTCAATGTGGCAAACATCATTGTTGTCTCATTTTAAGAAATTGCTACAGCTATGCCTGACACCGTGATCAGTCAGCAGTCATCAACACTAAGGCAAAACTCTCCACTAGCAAAAATATGATTTGCTGAAGGCTCAGATGATCATTAGCATTTGTTAGCAATGAAATATTTTAAAATTAAGGTGTGTACATTGTTTTTTAGACATAATGCTATTGCACATTTAATAGACTACAACATAGCATAAACGTAACTTTTATATGCACTGGAAAACCAAAAGTTCATGTGACTCGCTTTGATGTGATATTTGCCTTATTGTGGTGGTCTGGAACTGGATCTTCAACATCTCTAAGGTACACTTGTGCACTATTAAAATCTTTTTGATCTCTGCCAATCTGATAGGTAAAAAATGGCATATCACAGCCAGGTGTGGTGGTGCATGCCTATAATCTCAGCTACGCAGGAAGCTGAGGCAGAAGGATCACCCTCAACCCAGGAGTTTGAGGCCAGCTTCTGAAATATAGTGAGGGTCCATTTAAAAAAAAATGGCACATGGATTTATCTAAGAGTAAAGTTGAGCATCTTTTTATATATTTAATACATTTATGGCCATTAAAATTTTTTATGGCTTCTAGGCCTTTCCATTTTAGAGGAATTAGGATTGGGAAGGATTATTGTGATTATAGGAGAAGGAATCTTTAGTTAATCTAGATTTAGTAACCTGCTTTTCCACTGGTGTCGCAGTGGGAGGGTTTGAGCTGTATCCTTATTTTTATCAGCAACACATTTGTGACTAAAGATATATTATGATAGTGTAGAAACAGTATGGGTTTTCAGGTCAAGCAGACTTGAACTGAAACCCCATCTCCTTTCTTTGATTCTTTCTTTTCATATTAATTTATTGAAGTTGTACTACGTGTCAGACCCTGCGTAAGGTGCTGGAGATTCAAAGGTAAATAAAACACAGTTCTTGCCATCCAGAAACTCTCAGTATAATGAAGGAGCCAGGCACATAAACCAGTAAGTATAATGCAAAATAGGTAACAATAATGATGATGTGGATGCTGATGAGATACCGATAATAGCTGGCAGCTCTGTGGATGATGAATCAGGAAAGGACGACACCAGAGACAAGGAGAGCAGTTAGCAGGCTGTAGCGGCAATCTAGGCAAGTAATGTAGTAAGAATGAAGAAGAGAAATCAGATTCTAGATGGAATGAGGCAGTCAGTAAGAGAATGATTTTGGTAAGAGTGGGGAGTGAGGATAGGTTTCCGTGGGTTGAGGACTGACAGGGAAATGAGGGAAGTTGCTCTTTCTTTGATATGATAGCTATTGTGGCATATTAGTTCATCAAATATCCATTCCCTTCATTCCTCCACCTCCCATCTTCTCTGCCACACAGATGTGCTTTGCTCATATGACTTGCTTAGTCTTCAAAGCAGGATGAAGTGACATTCCTACCCTCTGACTTTGGGCTTGGCCATCGATTTCCTTTAACCAGTGGAATGTTAGCAGATATAATGCAAGTAGAGATTTTAGATATGCACAAAAAAAAGAAAAAGAAAAAGATGCGCATGCAAAGTCGGCCTTGGTCTCTTGGGCTCCTGCCTCCCACCATGAGAAGAACATGCCTCTGGTAGCTGCTGGTTCAAGAACATTAAAGGACACATGGAACAGACCTGGACCTAACCCACAGCTTAGAGTCAGGCCCATCTGAGCTCAGCCTAGACTAGCTGAATCTCAGGTGATCTATACAACTGTACACTCAGGAAATATATATCCATCATCTATGACACTGAATTCTGAGTAAGTTTGTTATACAATGTTGTTGTGGCAAGAGCTGCTGATATAGGCCTCTAAAAGTGGTATCTTTTCTCTAGGTTAAATATCCCTATTTTCTGCAACTGTTCATAGTATGCCCCCTCCTTTCTTATTTCTGTCAGATTTCTCTGCAAGATATACCAACTGAACCAATTAGGAGGCACCCCTCCAAAGAATCACCAAATTAGAATTCTGCACACATGTGACCCTCTTCCTCTCCCCTTCAACTGTCTCCATTCTAGAGGTCACCCTATGGAAAAAGAAGGAATCTGTCCCTGGAGCCTGGGCTCAGGGTGAGTCTAGAATGAGGAGTCTTGGGAAGATTAAAGATCAAACTCCATGAGTGAATTAGAAGGGAGTGGTTCTCAGCTCCTGGTTAATTCTGGAAACTCAAGTTATTCTACAAACAAAGACAGAGGTCAAGAGACATCTAAAATGTCTACATGGAAGCCAATTACACACCAATTGTCTACAGTTTGGACTCAAAAGATGATACTGCTTCACATCCCAAACCACCTAAAGCCAGGCAGATAAGGGGGATATAGGGCAGATTCCCATTCTGTGGCATCCGAAGCTTAGCATATACCACTTTGAGGACCCTTTAAAAAAAAAACAAACAAAATTACAAATATAAAATTAGGTTCAAAAGTGAGTATTTATTAGAATGACAAATCATTTCACAACAATTACAAAGTTTTAAAGGTTGAGGAAAATGAGAACCATCACAAAAATATTCCAATAACATAATTTTAAATTAATTAATATACTTCTAAGTGCTTATTTCCTATATTTTCTTTTTTTTTCTTTCTTTCCTTTTTCTTTTCTTTTTTTCTTTTTTTTTTTTTTTTTTTTTTTTTTTTGAGACAGAGTTTTGCTCTTGTTGCCCAGGCTGGAGTACAATGGCGCAATCTCAGCTCACCGCAACTTCTGCCTCCCGGGTTCAAACGATTCTCCTGCCTCAGCCTCCCAAGAGCTGGGATTGCAGGCATGTGCCACCATGCCTGGCTAACTTTTTATTTTTAGTAGAGACGTGGTTTCTCCACGTTGGTCAGGCTAGTCTCAAACTCCCGACCTCAGGTGATCTGCCCGCCACACCTTTCTTGTATTTTCTTTTTTTGTTTTTCGAGACGGAGTCTTGCTCTGTCGTCTAGGCTAGAGTGTAGTGGTGCAATCTTGGCTCACTGCAACTTCCGCCTCCTGGGTTCACGCCATTCTCCTGCCTCAGCCTCCTGAGTAGCTGGGACTACAGGTGCCCGCCACCACGCCCGGCTAATTTTTTGTATTTGCAGTAGAGACGGGGTTTCACTGTGTTAGCCAGGATGGTCTCGATCTCCTGACCTTGTGATCCGCCGGCCTTGGCCTCCCAAAGCGCTGGGATTGCAGGCGTGAGCCACTGCATCCGGCCTTTCTTGTATTTTCTAAGCTATGGACTCTGACTCTTCATATGAACAATTCTGAAGTATCTATACTTCATTTTTCTATAAAGAAAATAGAAAATCCTGTCTTTCTTCTACCATTGTTGACCAAAATTTGTTTATAACTGATAGCTTAGAGAATTTCTTTCCACCTCAAAACTCCTTACTAGTACTGTTATATAAATGTTAAGGATTAATGTGAAATTTAGGGAAACCTCTATCAAGTTTCTTTCATATAGGAGTTGTAAGATTTCATGGCCTTTGGAATTTTCCTTAATATTCTCGGACTTTATTGATACTCTTTCACAGTTTATTATTGGTGTCCTGGTTACAGTGACATAATTATGAGTTTTCTGTTACCTTTGGTGATGTCAATATCTTGGAGATGTGTATATAACTTCACATAAGAATGCACTCATTGTTAGTAGTATTGCTACAGGCTTATGCACCATAAACACAGGAATTTTAATAAATTCCATTTCACGTGATTCCCATTTATATATATATATATATATATATGTGTATATATATATATATATATATACACACACACACACACACACACACCAGGTATGGTGGCTCACACCTGTAATCCCAGCACTTTGGGAGGCCAAGGCAAGCAGATCACTTGAGCAGGAGTTTGAGATGAGCCTGGCCAACATGGTGATACCCTGTCTCTACTAAAAATACAAGAAAAAAAAAATTAGCTGGGCATGGTGGTGCACACCTGTAATCCCAGCTACTTGGGAGGCTGAGGCAGGAGAAGAGCTTCAACCTGGGAGACGAAGGTCACAGTGAGCCAAGATTGCACCACTGCACTCCACCCTGGGCAACAGAGCAAGACTCTGGCTCAAAAAAAAAAAAAGAAAAAGAAAAAGGAAAAAGAAAAAAAAGGATACATTTACAATTGTATACACTGCATTAAGATGTACTCCTGACAGGTGCAACGTTTTGTTTTGACCAGCCATTAATAAGAACCAAAATTTCCACTTACAATTTTACATATGTGAGGACTAGTTTCTGGATCCATACATTTTAAGCCTTGTTTCTCTTCCATTGCAGAGCATCATAGGACACATTCATGTCCCCTGACAAGCTCTGATCATGCACCTTCATGACCTGACCCAGTTAATTAGCAGAGTGGGCAGCAGCAGTACTCCTGAAGTCATTTATACACCAGGACAGCCAACAGTAAGTTAAATGCACAGAAGAGACTGCAAACCACATAAACAGATGCATAAACTAAATATAAAATATACTCAAATAAACTAAATATAAAATATACTCCCAACTCAGCTTCTCCTGAAACAGATCACCAAAACATCCATGGCCACTCCAACGCCACTCCAGGAGGGGAAGTATGAACTTGAAGGGAAAACAGTAGTCTCAATTTTGATTAAAGTATTTTATTTTTGCAAAGTGAAAAAATATAACCATGTAAAAATATTGCTAAGGCCTCCTCCAGGGTCTTGAAAGGAGTTCATGCAAGTAAGGGACCTGGAAGTTTAAATTCATTAACTGCATAAAAAAATCCACTTCTAGAAGGATAAAAATCCTGGTTTTATCTTTTTCTTGGTGTAGGCACCATCAATAGACAGCATTACCTATTGCTGGGTATTTTTGCATTAAATATGCAATATTTATTGAGTACTGACTAGGCACCAGACACTAGGGATACAATTGTGCTGAAATGAACACCATCCCTGCCCCCGTGAGCTTAAGCTTTAGCTAAGAGAGAGACATCAAAGAGTTATATTTAGATGAATGTCCCAGGAAGGTTCCTTCTAGGGGGCAGGTCTGTTAAACCCAAACCAAACCTATTATTCCGATGTGCTGACAGGGGAGGGGGAAGGCCAGGAATGCAAGGAGTCCCTCAGCAGCGTCAGACCCCTCAGAAGGTCTCCTCTGACCTTGTGGTTCTCCTAGGGTTCAGAATCTAGCCACCATCTTCCACATGTGTCCCTGTCTACTCTGCAGCTATATTCAAGCTATTCCTCTGGCATTTCAGGCTTAGAATTGCTAGCATGTGAGGCTGTCCCAGCAGGGCCTCTTTAGCTGGGGAACCCAGGACCCAAAGTCTAGCAGAGGAAACACTGGGCACTAGTCTGGGGAAGCTAAAAGAGGATCCTGAAGTTAGAAGTGGTTAGTGCAGCTGACCTCCTCTCCCCTAACTAAAAACAGGGAAGTGTTGTGAGAACCCTCAATGAACAGCACCGGGAGGGTCCAATCTCCCGTTTTACCCCATTCTTTCCTACCCTTCGCAGAGTCAGCCTACTGACATATCTTTTATCTTATTTTTTCAGCCAAACATCTTGAAATAGTTACCTACACCCATTTCCTCCACTTCTCACTTCCAATTTCCTACTGCTCTACAGCAGTCTAGCTTCTGCCAGTGAAACCGCAGGTACCAGGTGTTAGGGGATGTCACTGCTCTACCTGCATCCCCTGCCCTTACTACTTCAGTGAAGCCCAGGCTTCCAGCTGCTGGTACCTGCATTCATTCGCCTGAGGGATTTCTCTCACAGCCGGGGTCTGTTCTCCTGCCCAAGCAGCAGGCTGGAAATGTCAGTGAATTAGTGCCCTCTAAGAACAGCCCTCAACCAATGACCTGAAAGAGCTCCCTCACCCCATGAGAGAGGAACGATGAGGTGGGTGTTCTGCATGACTTCCAGGGCTTTCCCCATGGATTAGGCTGTAACTGCCCACGGTGGCTGCTGGCTTGATTCACCCTTTACTGGCCGTCCCCTCCCTGTTCATCCCCCTCTCCCACACACACCAGTGTTCTTCATCTTTCAAACAGACTAATTGTCTCAGGGCCCACTTTTAGGAAAACTCAAACTAAGCACCAAGATCATCAATGACGTCCTGACTGTTGCGGTCTTGGTGAATCCATCAGTTAGCAAGTATGCACTGAGAACCTACTAGGTGCTAGGCATTGTCTAATCTGACCTCACCTCTTTAATACACTTGACATCCATAACCACTCCTTCTTGAAGCTCTCCTTCCTTGGATTCAGGCTTCCTTGCATGTGGATATTCCCTCTTTCATCGGCAGTTCCGCTCCACCTACCCCTTACACAGTGGTGTTCCCAGAGTTCATAGCCCAGCTCTTGTTCTTCCTACTCTACATGCCCTTTTTTGGCCATGTGGCCCACCTGCACAGGATCAAATCCCATTTTTTTGTTGAAGATTCACAGATTCCTTTATCTACCCTTACGTTGTTTCCTGGGTTTCAGATTTTGTGTCCAACTACCTTTTAGACATTTTAACCCAGAAGCTACAAAGTTATCGCAAATGCAGCATACCCAGTTTTGGGGGGTTTATTAGCTGGGTTCTGTGTAAAGACAAGTGTGTAAGGAAATTGGGTGGAAGACATTGGCAAGAGAGCATTTAAAAGTGACGGATCATGAGATGTAGGCTCAGTAGGAAAGGAAGTAATTCTGGGAGAAGGCTGAGAGATTAGGAAGAAATAGAAGTGTCAAAGGCGGTGCTGGATTACTCAATAGATAAACACATTCTTCGGGCATCCAAAAAGCAAAGTGAACCCTCCCCCACAACATCTTTTTAGAAAAACCTTAAAATTAAAAAAAAAAAAAATCACCAAAAGAATCACCACGGTAAAAGTCAGAAATTTATTGAACTTCCTTACACTTATTTTACAAGTTAGTATTGTTTTCATTTTAAATTACATAAGGGAACATTCTCTTTTTTGGTGCTCGGGGACATTAAAGGTCTGACTTGGGTCTAGGCAGTCAATGAGATGAAAGCACAGTTATAATGGGAGCAAGGGAGAGAGGAAGCCGGAAGGTAGAGGCTATTGTCCAAGAGTGGATGCTCTCTTACCCAGCCTCTTCCCTACCGACCTACTGGGTTAACTAAAACTTTCCATTCCTGCTGTAATACATTCTAGTTAATGGACACGGTGCTCTGAATGTTCCTGGCTGGCAGGCCACTCTCTTCCACACACATATACTACTTCACTACTTCCATTTTTACCAGCTGAGTGTAAGTCATTGTGATTGTTTCAAAATTTCTTTATTCCTGTGGTAGTAGTTATTGTGTTTACATAATTTAATTAAACATTATGTAAACCAATCGTGCAAAAAGAAAGACAATTGTTGTTTCTAAGAACACTAAATCAAATACTTTGGGAAGTTTCATAAAGGTAAATCTGTTTTTTAAGTGCTATTGAATTGGGTGTGGGTGAGACAACTAGAAAACAGTTAACATTTATTGAATGTTTACTATATGTCAGGCAGTACACTAAGGCTTTGTATACAATAGTTATTTCATCCTCACAATAACTCTCTGAAGTGGTTACTGAGGAAACTGAGGCACAAAAAGGCTAAGCAACTTACCCAAGTTAGGAAATGGTACATCCAGGATTTGAACCCAGGCGGTCTGGCTTAAGAGACTGTCCTAACCATTATGGTATCACGTAAAAAAAAACTGGAAAAAATCCTAACAGTGGAGTCTGTGCAGAGGCTCTTTCATAAGAATATTTAAGTTTCTTGTTCTATTTTTTTTTTTAAGAGACGGTATCTCACTCTGCTGCTCAGGCTGGGAGTACAGTGGTGTGATTATAGCTCACTGTAACGCCTGGGTTCAAGTGATCCTACCACCTCGGCCTCCTGAGTAGCTGTAACTACAGGTGCGTACACCATGCCCAGTTAACTTTTTCATTTTTTATTTTTTATTTTGTGTAGAGGGAGGGTCTTGCTATGTTGCCCAGGCTGGTCTCAAACTCCTAAGCTCAAGCAATCCTCCCACTTCAGCCTCCCAAAGCACTGGGATTACAGGTGTGAGCCATCACACCTGGTTTTCTTGTTCTACTGTAAAGAAGCTGAAGCCAAAATCCATAGACAAGTCGATATAGATATGGTTGTTCAAGAATCAAGAACTCCACACTTGATAAAAGGCCCTGACACTCTACCCAAAGACTAGCAAGTGGTTGTGCATTTCTGTCGTCTAAGTTAGAATGCAATGTTGAAAGTATATATGTGGCATATGTGGTACTTTTTTTTTTTTTTTTTTTTTTGAGACGGAGTTTCGCTCTATTGCCCAGGCTGGAGTGCAGTGGCCGGATCTCAGCTCACTGCAAGCTCCGCCTCCCGGGTTCACGCCATTCTCCTGCCTCAGCCTCCCGAGTAGCTGGGACTACAGGCGCTCGCCACCTCGCCCGGCTAGTTTTTTGTATTTTTTTAGTAGAGACGGGGTTTCACCATGTTAGCCAGGATGGTCTCGATCTCCTGACCTCGTGATCCGCCCATCTCGGCCTCCCAAAGTGCTGGGATTACAGGCTTGAGCCACCGCGCCCGGCCCCTCATATGTGGTACTTTTTATGATGTACTACTTTAACTGACTTTGATTAATCAACCTAGTAGCAGTGCTGAATGAGAAGGACTTCTCTGTTTCAGAATTTAAAATTTCAGACATGGAACAGCCCTAGGGGAAGAATCAGCTATCTTCCTAAAATGCAGATCTAAATATAACACTTCCTTGCTTACTTTTAATTTCCACCATTGACCCCTACTCACAACCAGAAAAAAAAAATCCAGGGTTATAAGTAGCATCCCGCCTACCTTTACCATCTGATTGTAAAGGAGCCAGTCCCTCTTGCCTGTATTTCTAGTCATCCGCCAGTTACTTCATTCATACTTCAGTATCTTTGACTGTCATTTTCTTTGCCTGGAATTATCTTCACTCCCTCTCTAATTGGAGAAATCTTACTCATAATTTTTTTCATTCATTTTTTCATTCATTCAACAAATAGTTCTGGGCACCTACTGAGTGAAGAATGAACTAATATATATCTATAATATATATAAAGTGATGTTTCCCTGTTAAAATGTTATGATAAGCTATTCTTTTCCTTTGAAGCATTTATCTCAATTTACTATTTTATATTTATTTTTGTGTTCATTTGTTTAGAAGAGGAGGAAGAGGAGAGAGGAAGGTAGGGTGTTGGGAGGGTGTTGGGAGAGTATATACAGTTTGCAGGGAAGGGGAAACAGTTGGGAAAAGTCTGAGGAATTAACATTGGAGCTACAGCTGAAGGATAAGTGGGTGTAACTGGGCAAGACTGGTGGCAGTTGGGGATAGGTAGGAGCAAGAGGGGTTGGGGGCACATGTGTTCCAGATCCAGGGAACAGCAGATGCTAAGACACTGGGGCAGAAGGAGGGGCGACATGA